TCGCTAAAGAAATCTACGATAAAAAGGTATCTTCTATTCATCACATAACTTTATAACATATTGTGATAAGTTATCTATTTTATATTACTTATTATTATTATTATGCTGTTATTAGATCTACGGTAAGAACGAATCTTTTACCGGTCACAAAAATGATTAAGAGAAAGGGAATTTTCGTTACAGCCAAAGTGTTGTATTGCTATGTAACATTGTGTCTCTTCTATGACACTAAATACTGGACAATATCGTCATAGATGAAGAAGAGACTTGAAGCAACACGACGAATGATGAGGTTGTTGTTTCGTTGATTTTGTTTAGCGGCATATCAACCTCTATAGGTTAATTAATATCGAAGTCTAAATATTTTGAACACAATTTTATAGCTTCAACTAAATATACTTTGAACGCAATTGTATGACTTCATCTACAAATAAAATGTATTTTTGGCCATTTTACAACAATATGTATTGTTGGTAATGTGACTAGTAATTCTGCCTTCAAAATGTATTTTCGGTAATTTTACTATACATAGGTATTGTTGGAAATTTCCCTCTAAATAAGTATAGTAGTTAATCTTTTTACATAATTTTTTTTATACATCCATAGTGTTTTGTTTTTGTTTGGGGGTTCTTTTTTGGCTCATAGTTGTGACCGAAAGAGGAGCTACCACCCCGGGTTAGAGTTGACCTAGGAACAAGAACAATTAATTCCACGCTCCTCAAAACCTTCGCTCTCCCGATCAGAGGCCGTACTGCTGGGTGTAGATTATCGTCATACCAAGTAGTAACAAATGCTGAGAACTTCGTAGATAGAATATGTGACTAACGTGTAAGTTTTAATAAAAATAGGAACAAGGAATCTAATTCATACAATCAGAAAGAGACAGCTGAAATGTCACAGGCATGTCAGTAACGGATTGTTCCCTTAGTAGATTTTCTTCCCAAAAGCCGTTGATTTGTGAAACAAACTTCCGATCACTACCATCAGCCGGCATTCCCTTGTCCTCTGTTTGAAGATGATAATGAAATACGACTTCGTATTTCGATGTTAGTCGTCGGAGGGTGGAGAGCTCAAGGCCGAGAGAGTATTATTTATACTATTGTCCTCATCTTTGTGGACAATATTGGACAACGTGTGGTCTATTGCCCTCATCTTTGTTGTTGTTATTACAACGTTTCGACCGCTCAGCCTTTATCAGGTGTAAGTTAACCTACAGGGACAATATCTAGTGGATTAACGCATTTGTTCATGAATTTAGAGATATAGTAATTGTCAGTTCTAGACCGGGCCGTAAGTCCTTTGACTGAGATGAAACAGGGCGGGCAATAACTGTGTAATACTAAATATAAGAACAGGACGAGATATCCCTCGACATAGACAGTGGAACGAGAACACTACATGGTATAATGACCGTATAAACTCATAGTTTCTGGTTAATAATATTGTAAGGAAAATACTGAAACAAAAGATTAGTGAAGAAAAGTTTTAATTACATGAAACACATGGATTAATAATACAATAATAGCGAATACATTAGTTCAGTGCAGCAATTTTTACGACTCAACGCTACGCCTTGCGACTCAATTTGCGACGCCTATTCCTATGAGCAGACGTCGTACTCATGCTGAATTTACGTGTCTATGATCAACAATTAGTGTAGACAAGGGCGGTCGTCTTTCTTCACAACAGTCTGCCTCCGCACATTAAATAAAGGTTTCTGTTCGGAATTCCCTGTAGGTTTACCGGATCGATATGAACCTGATGAAGGCCGGAGAGAACGACGGTCGAAACGTTGTGATAATAACAACAAAATGGGGAGAATACACCGCATGTAAATATTTTAAATAACGATAACTCCTCATCCTAGAAATTCAGACAGACACTGAAAATAGCCGCCATCTTTTGCAACGTCGCTCTATTATTGCTGAGCTTAAAAAAAAACTTTCAAAAAAGTTAAATGTCTAAATATTTAAAAATAGCATCACATAACCAGTAAAAATAATATCACATAACCAGTGATGAAAGCTAAGAAAGCTTGTGGTAAAGCATGAAAATATAAATATAAACCTATCTCTCCACTCCATCAAAAAACACGGAGACGGTCGACGTCTTTTAACGATTACCAATACACACTGATTAAATTGAAAACAGGACATTTATTTCAAATTCGAGTATCCACTGTGATAGCTTTTGAAGTAAGAAAAAAATGTCAGACTAAAAATAAAACGATTACTTTTTGATAACGTTTTCTGTTTCATTGAATATTTAATTCTAAGTAATAAGAATTTATAATTATATCTAACACAAGACGATCTATTCACATGAGGTCGCTCCAGAATTTATAATCTAAAATTACTGAAAAAAAATGGCCTAACTATGGCAGAGTTATTTTAGTTCCCTTCAAATTTCCCCCATTGGGCTATTACACGCATAAAAGAGATAATTTTTTCTGAAAAATTTGCGAAGTCTTCTTTATCACATTCATCTTAATACTTTAATTTGTCCATGCTCTGAAATCGCCTGCTTTCACAGAAAAAAAAATGGAGGCAAACCTAGGCTTTAAAGGTGTTAACAAACCTGGGTGATGAAATGTTTTGACCAAAACCATTGCTTTTCATTATGTCATACCTCATTAGGGATTTGATTTTTTTTCACTCAGTAATTTACTCTCAAAAATTACTACTGCGATCTGCGATTAATTTTCTGCTAGCTATATGGCTCTTTACTTTTATTTTTTTAATTATTCAGGTCTGCTTTAGAGGTAGCCCAAAACCTTTGTGGCACAACCATTTGTTTTATACACGTGGTATCTATGCTAATGACATAACTATTTACTCCTGTTCAAAGTTCAAATTAGCAGATGATCTAAAAAAAATGGCTGCACTCTGTTGTTAACGGTGGTTAAGGAATAGGTTTTTAATTTTAACGCCTCCAAAGCAAAACTGCCCTCAATTAATCGCCTGAGACAAACTTTTTCTGCCTTTCATCAGCTTGGCTGGTGTTAATCTCCGGGAGAGTGACTCATTGCGCCATTTTAGTCTAACGTTTTCCGCTGACATAAAGTGGAAAGATTATATCGAATCAATTGCTGACTTTGCTGCTAGGAAGGTTGGTTCACTGTGTCGATCTAGACAATTTTTATAGCCCGAATTTATCTTACGTATTTAAACATCTACCATTAGTCAATGTTTAGTATATTGCTGCCACGTCTGGTGCTCCTGTTACATATTTAGAGATCCCTGAAATCCAAAGCAGAATCTGCAATATCCTTGATCCTGACCCGGCATTTCGATTTTCCTACCACCGTAACGTTGCTTCGTTGAGCCTTCTTTATAAATACATTCATGGTAATTGTTCTGGTGAACTCTTCTTTATGGTACCTAGACTTTATGGTACCTGAACTTAAATACAGTACTAGATTGGCGGCAAGGTCTCATCATTTTACAATTTAAATTGCAAGATGTAACCGCAATGTCTATGTTAACAGTTTCATTTATGGCACTAGTTTGTGGAAATGCATTCCGGATTCCTGCTTATCAGTCAAATTTGATAAGCACACATTTAAATTCAATGTCAATCGCTATCTACTGTCTTACTAATTTCTGTTCTTTTATTGTCCGTGTCCCTTAATAAGGTTTTTCTTTTTCCGATATACTTTCAGAGTCCTGCGGCTTAGGGGAGTTTGTTGAGTTGCTTGCTACGAAATAATTAAAAGACTCGAACCAGAAATCAGGAATCTTTTCGCTTGTATAAACAATATGATTTTACCAAATTTCTTTAGACAAATTGGATATTTTCCAGATGATATTTCCATTGGCTGCCTGAATGACTCCCAAAGGTAATACATATTAAAAAGGCCAATTATGTTTTGATCAATCTGTAATTGACCCTGAGTATTTGGCGGGAAGACAAGTCAATCAGAGCAGGATATGCTGGCACCTTGTCCAGAAAAAATGGCGCTTTAAAATCAAGATTATTTGTTTGTTTTTGTTTTTTTCAGTTTAATTTTGTCCTTTATCCATGAATCAATCCATTGATCCATCCACAGTCCTTGGATCCAATAGTGGTGTCAACAGCATTTTGGATAATCAAGGGACCTTGTGGAAATTTGTCGTGCGTTTTCATTTGCAGACATACTATTTATACCCTCTCACTAACAAATTGCTGCGTTTATAATTCAGAGTCGTCTTTCTACTAGACTGATTGCCAACCAATGTTAAAGAATGCAGTCGGCTCTGATATTTTAGAGTTCTTTGGACTTCTTAGTAAAGTTTATGCTTCTGCGATCTCTTCTACTCCCTATTCTGACAACTGTTTACACAAGATCTTCGTCGTTGTTGTTGTTGTTGTTCTTCTTCTTCTATGTGCCGTGTTGCTTCAGGACTTTTGCGATTATGACTCTCCACAATGTCCTGTCTTTTGTAGCTCTAGTTAAGTTTGTCTTTCTTCTGTCATTCCTAACCCCTGGTCTTTTAAAGCCTTACACAATCTCCTTAGGTAGATTATATATGCTGCTTTCTCCTGTTCCTCTTGCCTTAAGTAGGTCCTGTGAGGGTTAAATTTTCCAAGCCCTCTTTCCTCATTATGCAGTCTAGAAATTTCAAATGTTTCTTACCGATGCTAAGTATAAGTGTCCTTTTTGTTGCCAGTTTCTGTTCAGTGCATAGTGTTCTCTTTATCCTCCTGTAGAACCGCATTTTTTTTTCCTCAAGTCTCCTCTTTATTTGTGATGAGATTGCCCAGCATCCACCGCCATAAAGGAGAACTGGAATTGCATATCATTTTAGCGCTCTATTTTTTGTTGCTAACGAGATTTACCTGTTTTTAGTACTTTGCTTAGCATTTGAAAGGTTACTTTCGCTATCAAAATACACCTTCGGATTTCGGTGTCGCAAACGAACTACGGACTAAATGAACACATATGAGCCATGGCATAAACCGGTTTGGTTTATTTTGTTTTACGGCATATCAACCTCAATGGGTTGTTTAATACCGACAAGATTTTTATTGCTTGTAATATTTTCTATCTATCTATCTATCTATCTATCTATCTATCTATCTATCTATCTCAGTATATATTTTTAGGATAGATTCATATGAATAGAATATGTATTCTTTGGTTTAGATTGGTTTGCTTTATTTTGTTTTATGGCATATCAACCTCAATGGGTTATTTAATGCCGACAACATTTTTAGGATAGATTCGTATGAATAGAATATGTATTCTTCAGTTTAGATTGGTTTGCTTTATTTTGTTTTACGGCTTATCCGGGTCAGGGTGGACTTGGGTACATCAGTAATTAAGAGGTGGTTCCACGTTCCTCAAAACCTCCTGATCAGAGGCCTTGCTGCTGGATGTAGTTTATCGTCTTACCCAGGACGCGGATGTAGTTTAACGTCTTATCAAGGGCGGGCATAAAACGGATTTTCTAAAGAAGACAATCAAACGGCATTTAACAAAACTCAAAATTTCAGGTAAACTTTCTGTTTGTAAGAAAGAATTCTCCATTAGTTCTTCTCACTGGATTTGTGAGTCTCAAGAAATCATCGAATTATATGAAAATTTTCGATGAAACGTTTTGGTATAGTTTTTTCATTTGTTTCTTAGGCTGTACAACTGGTACGATAAAAAAAAAAGACTTTATTAGTTCACACGTTATTGGGGAGATCATGAATATGGTAATTTTGTAATCGTTGTCCAGTATAACAATCTGGAGGAATTGATTGAACAAATGAAAAGGTTGAAATATTTGCCAGTTTCGGAGATTTATCTGTGAAAATCGGGTGAGGTGTCGGAAAGAAAAAACAAAAACAGTGTCTTTCGTTTCGAAAAAATAACGAGCTTTAAAGAGGGAAATAAACCAAAACAATATAAATAGACCGAAATATTTTTAGATAGACAGATATGACCAAACTGTAACATATATATATATATATATATATATATATATATATATATATATATATATATAAAACTCAAACACTAATATCCCATGGTTATAATTTATTACATTGGAATCACGATCCAATTCATCAGACCTACAAATTCAAAGAGTAATCGGAAAAATATAACTCCGGGTATAATAAAACAAAATTTTAGTGAGAGTGTATGTGTGGGAGTGGGAAACAAAGGCGGGAGGGAAATGTATGAAAGATCTAGAGAGAGGTGTGACGGAAGAAAGAAGAGCAGGAAAGGCCTAAAGGTGAAGGTGGGGGAAAACTGCTCTTTTTGAAATTTTAATTCCCTATCTATCTATCTATCTATCTATCTATCTATCTATCTATCTATCTATCTCTGTCTCTTTCTTTTTAGTCTGTTTATATCTATCTATCTATCTGATTTTGTTGGCATCTATCTATCTATCTATCTATCTATCTATCTATCTATCTATCTATCTATCTGTTGAAACTTGACTAATGCATGGAATGATAATGCAACACAAAATGTACTTAGAACAAAATGTATTGAAACAAGAAAGTGTACACAATATTTACATATAGTCTTTTGTATATTCCTGGTAAGACCGTTCCTGGAGAATGTGTTGTCTGAGTCGCAGTCGGGCAGAGTCTCTGGTTGAATCTCTTGATTCCTTCCTCTGTTCCCGGTACGAACCATATTTATATGGTCGGTACTCCACTATGCAAATTAGGTGGATCCTACCACAACACTATCTATCTATCTATCTATCTATCTATCTATCTATCTATCTATCTATCTATCTATGGATAATCATTATCTATCTATCTATCTATCTATCTATCTATCTATCTATCTATCTATCTATCTATCTTATTCGGACTGTTGTCCTCATCTTTATTGTCATATTCACAACGTTTCAGCTTTTTCAAGTCAAAGGAATTTCGAACTGAACCTTTTATTTCGTCCACCGGAGTAGATTGTTCAAGATTTTTTTTTTATAAAACAAACGTCTCACACTATTTTTACCAGAGCTCATATTGTAATTTTGTTATTATTGCATTTCGATTTACTGGTTCCCATATTGTATTCGTGTCTATGCTTGGCCGGCTCAAGAGATTTTTGTGGCCTAGCATATGTGCTGATTCCTTAGGCTTTCGTATTTTCCAGTGATGTTTTCTGTCCATTATTTCAACCTCATCACACAGAGGGCGATGATAGACCTTTTCTCTCCATATATGGTCATCATCACTTATGGAGGGAAAAAGGGAGCAATATAAGCTCTGGTAAAAATGATAACTGAATCATTAGGTTTATAAGTCCCAAGAATTCATACAAGGACATATGGCCAAGTGGTTAAAAGAGTTGTTTGGATCCAATGACTTGACCCAAAGAGTTTAATACCTAGCTACTGCAATAGTGAACAAAAGATTAAAGTGTTGAGTTAAAGGGAGATAAATGAGACACCCGGAAGAGACATGGCACGAGGAACTAGAACATCCTACCCCGGTAGACGAAATAAATGATTCAGTTCGAAATTCCTGTCACCCGAAGAAGGTCGGAGCCTACAACGGCCGAAACGTCGTGAATATGACAATAAAGATGAGGACAACAGTCCCAACAATGTAAATAATTACAATACCTCAGCACAGAAATACACACACACACACACACACACACACACACATATATATATATATATATATATATATATATATATATATATATATATATATATATATATCCAGTATTTAAATGAGAAGCTCTGAATAGAGTCTGTCCAAAAACAGCCTTCTGGCATAAAGAGCTCCATGCCACAAGAAATGGCAGAGCTTTTGAATATTAATTCAAATAACCAAGTCGGCAATGACTGGCCACTATTAGTTTAATGTATTTTCACACAATTATCAGGTAACTAATTACTCGTAATAAGATAAGTACACTATATACAACCAGGTGAGTTCAATTTGGTCAGTCATCGCCCACCTGGTTTTTAATTAATACATATATATATATATATATATATATATATATATATATATATATATATATATATAGTCCTTTGGTTATGTGGATAATCCCGAGAGTCCATAACATAAGAATATCTAGGTAAAACACCTAGTAGAGAGCCCAATGTATGAGAATAATAACAAATCACACAGAGCAATATAAGGAAGAACAATTTCAAAGAAAAACTTTACATTTGAATTTTTCAGCTTTAAACTTAAATTTATTTCAACAGTTGATTTACACTGCATCTTCAGACTGTTTTAAATGCATCAAATATGCGAAATAAACTGTTTTAAAAAAAGGGAAAGACGGACAAGAAAGAGAGAAAGTGAGAGAGATAGAGATAATAGACTAAGACAGACAAATATAAATAGGCTGAGATATCTTTCAGATAGATAGATAGATAGATAGATAGATATCAACAGACTGTAATATATATATATATATATATATATATATATATATATATATATATATATATATATTATAATTAATTGATTTAAAATATGTTTTTTTGCAACACAGTTTCTAACCATGTTTTCAAATGGAAGCTAAAGTTCCAATTTAATTTTGTAATTAAATTAAAGACATTAATTTAATTACAAAATTTAATTACAAGATTAAATTCAGGGCTTTTTAGCTTCAATTTTGAAACATGGTTAGAACTGTAGCAAAAAAACATATTTTAAATCAATTAATTTATAATATTAAAGCTCTGTAAATTTACATTGAGCACTATTTTGTAAAAATAAAAATATCTATAAGAACACCGGATTATATATCTTACTGTTCTTTCTTTTATATATATATATATATATATATATATATATATATATATATATATTCGTCCTGGGTATGGCGATAAACTACATCCGGCAACAAGGCCTCTGATCAGAAGGTTATGAGGAGTGTGGAATCACCTCTTAATTGCTGATGTTCCCGGGTCCACACTGACCCCGTATCGTAGGGACAAAAAGTTACCCTCCAAACACTATAAAATTGTAAAAATAAGTTTTATTAATGGAAATACGTTTTTTGTAAAAAAAAATATATATCTATATATTTTACCAGCAATACATTTTTTGTAAAAAATATTCCCAGCAATAAAAATTTCGTCGCATTAAATAACCCATTATGGTTGATATGTTGTAAAACCAAATATATATATATATATATATATATATATATATATATATATATATATATATATATAGAGAGAGAGAGAGAGAGAGTGGGTAAGAAGTTACAGTAATTCCAACCAGAGGAAAGTGTATATTAAGAAGAAGAGAGAAACAGCAAGCGTTATCAGTTGTAACGTAGATTTTAAAAAAATATGAAAAAAAATCCACATTACAACTGAAAACTTTTGCGGTTCCTCTCTTTTATATATATATATATATATATATATATATATATATATATATATATAGAGAGAGAGAGAGAGAGAGAGAGAGAGAGACAGAGAGAGAGATAGATAGATAGGGAATGATTTCGATAGATAGATACCACTAAAACGCAAGTGACTAGTCGTAGTGAAAATGAATGAGAACACTTTAGAAGGACCTGAAAACCAATCCTAAACAAGAAACAAGAGATAAACGTCTACTCCTGTTCAAAAAGACCCGGAAGGAATGTGACCCAGGCAAAGAGCGAACTTTTGTTAATAAATTAATAAATAGTAAATAAAATTTCAAACCTTTGAAGAAGTATACAGCTGAAGTAGACGATACTATCTAGTTGTGGAGCGTCATGATCGCCCACGTCTGAGGGACAGGAATAAACAGCACGTTCCTAATTCAACAACACTCAACCCACACGATCCTCTCTCTCTCTCTCTCTCTCTATATATATATATATATATATATTTTAGACTTTCCACCCACTTGATGAAGGCCGGGGCGTACAACGGCCGAAACGTTGTAATAAATATGGCGACAAAGATGAGGCAATAGTCCGAATAATATAAATAGTGTACATAATACCTCATCTCAGAAATATAGACAGATGCAAGTATCTCTTTTTTATTATTGTAATTAATACTCCCAGACTTTATTTCATGAAAACCTTATTCTCTTAAATAGAATGAAGACATTATTCAAATAGATGCCTCTGTAGTGGAACGGTTATCTGCTTGGAAAGTGGAATCGGTAAACTGAGTTCAAATTCTGGCCTAGTCTGTTACGTTAACTTTCGCACTAACACCCTTGGAAAAGGCATGAATCCGTTTCTCATCCCCTTTAACTATAGGTCAAATTTTACTGAGTTCTCTATCCTCAGGTGACAAAGAGTGTAAAAAAAAAGCGTAACTCTGAACCTAAAATCGAGGATGGGGATAAGGAAACGGTTAACCATTCCATCTTTCTTAATGCACAGATAATAAAGAAAAGGAAATGTGGAGAGCCATGTCCAAATTATCATCTTTGATATTTTGATCACAAAGTTAAAATTATTATAAACACATTAAAGTTGCTAATGTAATTTTTGTTGAAATATACAAATTTAATTTAATATAACATTCGTCACTGTTTCCTGATAATAGCTGAGAATGAAACAAAAATAATCTTCTATGTGCTGTGTCTCATCTGGGCGTATGCAATCATGGCTCCCCACAACTTTCTGTTCTTTGTAGCTCTTAGTAAAGTTTGTCTTCTTGAGATCTCTCCTAATCCCTGTTCTGCCAACCAGTTAACTAAACCCGTTAAATCGGCAAAGCGTTGTTTTCCTCTTGACTTCCATATGCCTTGCGTGTGTCAAATTTTCCGGGCCTTCTTTCCTCATTATGTGTCCAAGATATTTCAATTGTCTTTTTCTGATGCTAAAAGTGTCCTTTTTGTTTCCATTTTCTCTAAAACCTTGTCGTTGCTCCCACATTCAGTCCATGGTATATTCATCTGTGATGAAATAGTCCTGCATTCATTGTCATGTGGAGGACCGATATTACATAACAGTTCAGTACTCTCTTCTTTGTTGCCAATGAAATTTTACTGTATTTTAATACTTTGCTTAGCTTTTGGAAGGCATCTTTTGTCTTAGAGTTTAGGTGTTGTGTTTTCCATCCTCTGTTAAAAAAAACTTAATAGATAATAATATTTTTGCACTATTTAGATATCTCCAATTTGTAATTCGTAAGTTGAACCGTTTCTTTTGCTGATAACCATATATTTGCTGATAATCATTTATTTGCTGATAGCATACATTTGCTGATAGCCACACATTTTGTCTTCTTACAATTGATGTTTATTCTTTTCTTTTCACTTTTCCTTTACTTCTGCAACAGTTCCTGTAGCTTCCTTTCCATGCGTTAAAAGCGGACGGAAGTGCGACACTGATATCCGAAAGCGCATTGGCATAGCGAAAGATGCTTTCCAAAAGATAAGCAACGTATTAGGAAACAGGAAAAATTCGTCAGAAACGGAGAAAAGAGTACGGAACGGTTACGTAATTTCAGGCCTCCTACATGGCAGTGGACACTGGACAATCTCCTCACAGATGAAGAAGACACTTGAAGCAACAGAAATATGGTTCTACAAAAGGATGATGAGAATATCGTCGACCGAAAATGCGAACACCGACGAAATTTTAGAGAAAGTGAAAAGAAAAAAGACGTTTATATTTAACATCAGGAAGTGGCAGGTGAAATTTCTAAGGCACATTATTAGGAAAGTGGGCTTGGAAAATTTGATACTCACAGGATAAACTGAAGGTAAGAGGACAGAGAAAAACAACGCATAACCTACCTAGCGAACTTCAGTAATGGCGGAACAAGATTTAGGAGAGACAACGAGAAAGATCAAATCTATTAAGAGTTAAAAAGGGCAATTAGTTGTGGAGAGCCTTGGTGTCCTGAAGGCACATCGAAGAAGAAAAATCTAATTATACGATATTCTCTGTTATTAAAATTCAATTTCCCATATTTTATATGTTGATCTTTATGGGAAATCGAAGGAGAAAGCGCCATCTTATTTTCTTAGGGTGAATGCTGACGCCGCCTGTTAAGAAACAGAGAAATAAATAAAAAAAAACTCATGAATATATACATAAAAAGCTGAATTGTTAAATAAAACGAAAGAGGTGAAAAAAAGTCCTTATTTTGATTCTGAACGTTTAATTAACAGACCAACGTATTCATCAAATTTGTTGACACCTCGAAAGGAAATCGAATTATGTGAGAAAAAGATGCGCATGCGCCCATAACGAATTGTTTCCTGTCGTCCTGTAAGCTGGTGCTGTGGGCGCCTAATTTAAACTTTTTAAAATCGCCATTGTAAATTATTTAAAACGACACATTAAAATTTCACATCACAGACATTCTCCTTTTAAAAGAAATTAATTTAGAAATCCTTTTTTGTGGTTCTTTCTGTTTGTTATAGATTAAATAAGCATGGAAGGCGTCTGTGTTATTTGCGGGAAAGAAAAAGAATTAAAAAAAAAAGTAAAAGAAAGGATTTTGAAATTTCATTGTGTGAAAAAGTCCTTGGCCAATTTATGCACAATTAAATGAAATGAAAACAGCAGTAAATCAATTTTGATGTATTGACTGAGATCGATTGCCTGTGATTGAGAATCTAAAGGGATAAGTCAAGTCAAGAATGACCACACGATTGATTTGCTGAAAGAGAAATAAATAAATAAAGCAAATTTTAAAACAGTGGTTAATAAAATATCTGCAAAGTTCTTTGACAGAGGGTGGAAAGTAAGACACCGAAATCCAGACATTTGAGTGGCAAGAAGGGTCAGCCGAAATGTTAAGGAAACTGCAGAGAAACAAAAGACTTCGTTAGAAACAAAGAAAAGAGTGCTGGTTTGCTATGTGATATCCATCCTTTTATATGGCAGTGAATACTGGATAATTTCCCCAGATGAAGAGAAAACTTAGGCCAACAAAAATGCCGTTCTACGGAAGGATACTGAACCTTACATAGGGGAGCGAAAAAAAACCCCCAAAACCGGGGAAATTTGAAATAAAATGGCATAAAAAAGAACACTTATACTCAGAATCAGAAAGAGACAACTGAAATCCCTTGGATACACAGGAAAGAGGCGTTGGAAAACAACCCTCCAGGGTATATTGGGGTAAAGATTGATAGGAAAAGGCAACGGGCCACCTACCTAACAATCTTGTGTGAACAGGCAGGTGAGGTGAAGGCAAAGGAAATAAAAAAAGCGGCTAAGGGCTACAAGGAACAGTAAGTTGTGGAGAGCTATGATCGCCAAAGTCCTGAAGTGTGTGTGTGTGTGATGCGGCATTCACCCTCGGCGGATTGAGCCGGCTTCTTCCTGTTGTGAGAAGAAGATTCTTGGGATAAATTACAGAAGTAGGGCACCCAGGCCTACTCGAATAACGTTCTTGCTTGCCACGGGGTTCCCCACAGACAGAGAACGACCAGAAGCCGCCGGTTGCCGATGCAGACGCTCCTTGGATTTTCACCAGAGCCCTTGGTAGCCGGCGTGTGTGTCAGACCTGGGTGGCCCTACCAGGAACGAAGTTCTGGACGGCATAAGCTCTGACACTACCGTTTACACCCCCCACCGACTGTGAGGTAAGGGTTGGACTTTGGGGGCTTACAGTACCAGGTGTTCCCAAGCGGTCCCCCATCTAAGTACTGACCTGGCTCTACGATGCTTAACTTCGGTGATCGAACGAGAACCGGTGTTTTCAGCGTGATTTGACCGTAAGCTCCTGAAGTGGTAAGATATATAGAATGGGATCTTATATTTTGTTATATACCGTACCTATGAACACCAATGGGTATGTCCCGATCCTCATAAATATGTTGGACACTATTGTAATTGGGCTAATATGCTATGCAAGTAATCCACCACTAGCAGTGGTTTACCTACTTCACGCCGTTGGCGAGTATTGTATTTTGTTGATGTTATAAAGATTACCATTTCATTTCCAATCTCCGTTTTGGTTATTCCTCATTCAGTAACCTTTTCTAGGTTACAACAAAGAATTAGATTTAAGCTTTCTTTTCTTTTTTTCTTTTTGTATTATTGATTATTTATCATTATTGATTATTATTTTTTATTATTGAAATTATTGATGTCTTTATGTAAATTCATCATAGTCATTTAATTAAAAGGAAGAATCTTATTTACCATAACTATGAACACTAATGGGTATGTTCTAATCCTCATAAATATGTAGGACACTATTGTAAGTGAGGGTAATATGCTGTATAAGTAGTCCGCCACTAGCAGTGGTTTACCTGCTTCACGCCGCTGGCGAGTATTGTATTTTATTGACGTTATAAAGTTTACTGTTTCATTTCCAACTTCGGTCATTCCTCATTCAGCTCAGTTAAAATAATTAACTGGATCCTGCATGTCTCATTCCATATGTGTCACAGGTCATGAATTCAAGTGCGTGGGGTTCACTTCCTGGCAAGTTGAGGTCCACCTTAAAAAAATACACCATCGGCGCTTTCTTCTACTCTGATTTTCTTTTACCTCCAATCAACGCTTGTAAATCCAAACAGCGATATGGAATGGGTGACGGGAGCAGGTTTTGGTGAAACTGGAAGCTTCTGGTACTGAATCTGCACGTTGGCAGCGAATTTAATCATCAACGCCAACATTAAGACGGAAGCGACCAGCAAATGAGGAATTAAATTCTTGGATAAGAGATAAAGCGAGAACAACGACGATGACTTATCCCACAAAAGAACAGAATTTTATCGACTAAAGACACAAATTCTGAATAAATCAAATGGAAAAACACAAGCTATGCAAACTAGACAAGAGAACAAGTAAGAATTTATGGATCTAACTATGCTCGGTATAAACTAGTCAAGGCAACAGGTGAGAAATTTGGTTAAAAGTCCTATTAAATTGATGGTTATGCGTAAAACCTTTATAGTTGAAATAAATAAAAACAAAACAAAACTATTTAGTGTCAATCTCCGTATATCAAAGAGATGATGGCGACAGTTGTCAATCTAATGACAGATGTTATTCGGCAGCCAAAAATTAACAAGAGAACTAATGCTGAATCAGAGACCTTCAAATTACTCCCAACTGAAAGACAGATAAAGAACCTCGTAGAGATTTCAAGACATAAGTAGATGAACGGTGTAGGTGCACAGAGGTTACTTAAAGAAAGAAATTGAAGCCCTATTAATACCAGCCGGGTACAAGTGTATTAGAATAAATTATGTTAATTAGTTGTAACATAATAGAAAATATCGACGGTGTGGGTAGAGCTAGAGAGAGAGGGAGAGAGGGATGGAATGAGAGTGAAAGGGGATGGAGTGAAAGTGAGAGAGAGGAGAATGGATTAGCAGAGAGGGAATGGGGTGAAAGAGATAGGGTGGATGGATTGAGAGAGAGAGAGAGAGAGGGGGGACGGAGAGAGTGAGAGAGGAGATTGTCACTTATATAAAGGTAGAATGCAGTAAATTGGATGAAGAAGACAGAATTTTATATCGCTTCTGAGAAGGAATACAGTAAAATGACCATTCTCGGCTGCATAAAATGGCGGATATATTGAATTAGCCTCAGCCGAGGTTAATTGGCAGTAGATAAGATAGAGGTCCAAATTTACACACCAATTTTAGAGGGAGCAAATATTTTCTTCGCCTTCGAGGAAGCAAGGTAAATTACCGTTAGTGAGAAAAAATGAAAGAAGGAAGAAAAGAGGAATTAACGAATAAAAGATTTTGAACGCGTGGAAGAAAGATGGACAGAAAGGAAAAGCATAGATGGAACGCGCAAAAAGAAAAAAAGAAATGAAGAAAGAGCAAAGAAAGAAAGAAAAGGGGATAGGAAAAGGAAAAGAAATGAAAGGAAAAAAAGAAAGAAAAGGAGATAGACAAGAAAGAGCGAAATGCACTTGAAAGAGGTGTGAAAAAGAAAGAATGCAAGAGACAAGAAAAGAAGAAAATCAAGAAAAAGGAAAAAATAAAAAAAAAAAAATAAGCAAAGAAAAGAAATAAAGAAATAAATGCGTTTAATCGAAAAAAATATAGAAGGAAAGAAAGATGGTAGAAATGAGTAAGAGAAAAAAACACGAACGAAAGAAAAAGACAGAAAATTAAAGAACTTAGCAAGCAAGAAAAAATAACGACGCCAAGAGGGAAAGAAAAAAATATGCGAAGAAAAAGGAAACTAAGAAAAAAGTGCAATTAAAAATATTAAAGAAAGAAAATCTGGAAATGAAGAAGTAAGAATGCAGGAAAAAAAGTGAGGGCTGCAAAGAAGGAAAATAGGATAAGTAAAAAGAAAGAAAGAAAATCTAGAAATAAATAAAGAAGGCAGAAAAAAGTGAGTCTATGAAAGAAGAAAAAAAGGAAAAATGAAAAAAAGAAAGAAAGAAAATCTGGATGTGAAGAAAGAAAGAATGAAATAAAGAAAGAAAGAAAGGAGGAAAAAGTGAATCCTGGAAAGAAAGAAAAAAAAAAGGAAAAGCGATAAAAAAGAAAGAAAAATGTCTAGAAATAAAAAAAGAAAGAAGACTGGAAAAATTGAGGCCAGGAAAGAAGAAAGCAAGAAATAAAAAAAAAAAAAAAAAAAAAAAAAAAAAAAAAAAAAAATCTGGAAAGGAAGAAAGTAAGATGGTAGGAAAAAAGGTGAGTCCAGTAAAGAAAGAAAAAAAAGAGAAATGAAGAAAAAAGAAAGAAAGAAAATCTGGAAGTGATGAAAGAAAGAAGGAAGAAAAAAATGTAAGACCATGCCAGAAAGATAAGAAAATAAACGAGAAGAAAAAAGAAAGAAAATCTGGAATTGAAGAAGAAAGTAGGCAGGAAAAAAGCGAGACAATGAAAGGAAGAAAAAAGAAAAGTAAAGCAAAAAAAAGAAAGAAACTCTGGAATTGAAAGAGGTGAAAAGTAAGACCAGGAAAGAAAGAAAAAAGAGAAGTGAAGAAAAAAGAAAAAAAATCTAGAAATGAAAAAAGAAAGAATGTAGGAAAAAAGTAATGCCAAGAAATAAAGAAAAAAAATTGTGAAAAAGAATGAAAGCAAATCTGGAAATGGAGATGTAAGGAGGCGGGAAAATGTGAGACCAAGAAAGAAACAAAAAAGGAGAAGCAAACAAAAAAGAAAGAAAGAAATCTGGAAGTGAAGAAAAAAAGAAAGTAAGGAACAGTGAGTCTAGGAAAGAAGAAAAAAAAAAGGAAAAGTAATAAAAAAGAAAGAAAGAAAATTGAGAATAAATAAAGATCGAAGGCAAGAAAAATTGAGGCCAGGAAAGAAGAAAGAAAGGAAAAATGAAAAAAAAAAAAGAAAGAAAAAATGACAGTGAAGAAAGAATGTAGGAAAAAGGAAAGCCAGGAAAGAAAGAAAAAAATGGGGAAGCGAAGAAAACAGAAAGAATGAAAATCTGGACGTGAAGAAAAAAGGGAGGTAGAAAAACGTGAGGCCAGAAAAAA